TGAAGCATGATGGAAGATGAGGAGCATTATCCTTGTTTTCACTTAAAGGACACAGGATTTAAAAAATAAGTTAAAACATCCCTGTGATCATGCCAGTGTAAATGGGACAGCAGCTCGACAAAGACAAGCGCCCTAACATCAGTTGGTTAAAACTTGTGTGGCAGTGACCCCCTTTGTAGTTTTATCCCTGAGGGTGACATCTACTTGGAAATACAATTTCATTTTCTGCTGGGTTTTGGGATATCTTCACAACCATATTCAACTTCTACTGTAATTGGCACTCGCAACTCAGTATTTAAAACCAGTTTCATAAACTTCCCACAGTCCTAAAAGCATGTGTACTAGCAGAGCACTAGCCATCTTTTGTAATTAATTCCTATTAATGCTATTCACATCTACTGTCTTTAAATAATTATTGCCAGCTTTCTGATTCACCATAGTCACGTAAGACAACCAGCTGCCAAAAATGTCACAACGAAATCTATCCTTATGCAACTGCCTGGAAGTGTACCCTTTCCGTGCTACTACATATCGGAATAATCCACAGCAGTCACATTGTTCCTTTTGATAAACTACCGCTGCACACAGCTTGTGAATTCAAGGCCCACACCTCTCCTCTGGCTACTGAGGCCAAGCAACCCTCATCTTGTGCATGGCCACTCTACAAACAAGTCTCAAAGCGATAGTAGAGGTGCTATGCTCACAAGGCCTTCCCCTGTCTCTCTATCTTCCATCTCACCTCAAAGGCTGGTATCTATTGCCACTGAGGTAGATAGCAGACTTCTCAGTAGCCTCTTCATGCCAGACAGACTGCTTAGATTTCCCTTATATTTAAACCTTCACTTACATAGTTCCCCTGGGGATAAAGCAGGCAAAGCTTCCTGAAAGACTCCAGGTCATCAACACAACCAGTAGTTATCCTGCAGGTGGAGATTTGGCACCGATACACAAATGATACTTAAGTGCAAAAAAGCCCTCAAGGAAGTAAAACCCCCCCTAAAATTACAAGATTTACCAGAAATTTATCCCAGAGGGAACAAAACGAGAACAGTGTACCTTCAGTAAATGGATTGTTGATAAAGGACCTGAGGGGAAAAAATAAATCTAGTGACATTCAAGGCTTGCTTACACATGCAAAGAATTTTTCTGTTTCTTTCACACATATTCCTAGAAAAATATTTCTCCTGTGTTGTGCAAGATCTCTTCATCCACACCCACCCACCCATATTACAGGATCAGACTACTTCCCCTCCTGCCATGCTCAGCTCTGCCCCACCTCCCTCCAGATTGTCTTCCACAGAACATCATTACTGTGCAATCACTGCAGAGTATTCACACACCACTCCTGCACTCAGCCACCAGGAAACTTTCTTCCAACCTCATTGTGGGACAGCCCCCAGCTGCTGCAGTAGCAACACTCCTTCCTCTTGGGAATAACATCTATAAAATGACTATGAACAGAATCACAAAAATTCTCCAGTACTGCTGCTCCTTTCTTATTCTCAATTATTCTAGATGCAACTGACATAACATACATCACATGCTTCATCTCCAGTGGTTATGAAACCCCTCATGTTAAAAGTTCATATCTTCCAGCTTCTTACAGAATATACCCAATATATACATCTATATATAACAGCAGAAGCCAGGAGGGTTTTGGTTTGGTTTTTAGAAGTGAGATTTCTTTTTTTTTTAATTCTTTTAAAGAAAGCTTTGAATGCCCTTCAAGCTTCATCTCGGGATGGGGCAAAAGTTATTGTTCTACAACTTTTATTTTGCAAGGAACTACAAGTCCTACATTTTATATTCATTTTAGAAATAGACTGAGGACTTTGACGAGATCATTTTTTCCAGTCACTGCATTGTCATTTTAAATTATATTGCTTTCCATTAAATTGTTCATTATTTGAAGATTCATATCAGATAGCTTAGAACCTGAAATTGTTCAGTGTAAATTCAGTTTTTATGGGCTCCAGGTCTAAAATTTATTTCCAAATGAGAATCAAAGCAGTGATAAAACAATTTCTAAAAGTTATACTATTGTAACATAAATGCAGCACTAAAATTAAGCACAATGGCCTCACACACTCAAGTTTATTTTTTGAGCATGAATTTAAATTACTAGCTTTATCCTTTTCAGGTACACAAATATAATTTTCCATTCATATTTGGAGGGAGGGACTAATTTGTATCAACAAATTTGATCAGACAAATTTGAAATGTAGTGTTAGTTATTTTTCAACAGAACTCATTTTATAGCTATTTTGAAGGTGATTATTTTGCTGTACTAGTCAAACACCTGGTAGTCTCTGCCTGTTACATATGAACTACTTTATTGTTAATACTGTGGCTCACCACAAAAGGACTAATGTATCAAAACAGTTTACTTCTCATGTTGTCCTTTTTTTATAGGAAAACCGTTAACTATTTCATTCTGATCTATTATAAATGTAGAATTGGACATTATAGAAGGCAGTTGCTGGCAATTTGGCAAGCCAATTTGGCTATAGCTAGCCAAATAACAGCTTTATGGCAAGTTCAGTTTCCAAATAAAGTAAAAAGTACATTTATTACAGAGAAGAGCAGTGGCAAATTCTTGCCTTTACCAAAAATAATGGCACCAAACATTCTAGTGCATCTCCTGATCATTATGTATGCAGCAATTTAACCAGCAGTGAAAGTATTCTTCACAGTTAACTACAAATATGAGATAACAAACCTTAAGCCAGGAGGATGACAAAGTTCTTGCTATGCCAAACTTGTTTATAGACAGCCTCCTGTATCTTTGTGTGCTTTGATTTGCATTTAGAAGTTTACTGTCTCATTTTATATAAACAGACATAGTGGGCTAAATGGTTGCTTTAAATCTGATGGTAGTCATTGGCCCAGCACTATGCCAGACACAATGATACAAGTGAAAGTACAAGTCCAGTAAGGGAGCCAGGTCAAAGCAATTAATTTAAAAGATACATAAGCTCCCATTTCAGATTATTTTCCTCTTTCTCATCTGATGACACCTTACCTTTATGGAATATAAAACAGCCACTTGTTTCTCAGTTCATAATCTCTTTATGGTTATATAAATTTTGTATAATTTCAGTAGAAATTTAATCAACATTGTGGTTGTTGAGGCTTGGTGTTGTGATGTATACCTTAGTTTGTAGGACTGCTTTGACTTTAAAATATGTACTCTCTTGAACATTTAAGTGATCTTATTTTTCCCTTCTAAAGGTACATTAAAAAAAATCCTTTGAGTATATAAAAACAACCCCCAAATCAACCCAAACAAAAAAACCCTTTTCCTATTCCACTAGATATTTAACTTTCATGTTATTTACTCAAACAGGGGATCTTTATTGTCTTGCTAGTCCTTTTCCCTATTTTTTCTTTTTGCAGTTACGAACAGACCAAATAACTCAAATTTTCAAGAGTTGAGCAAAATGTACCAAAACAACTTAATTTTCACTGCGGTTTAGCACAAGGGTTAATTTTCCATTAGCATTCCCATTAAATGCTTGCATCTCATCTGCACTTCTCTGGTCAGAAAAAGCTGCCTTTGCCATTTGAAGAGACAAAATACCAAGCGTAACCTTGGGCTGACATATGCAATTAGCCCAAGGTCAGTCAACTACAGGGAAGTAGCAGAAAGTGACAACCAAGAGAAATTATATAAAGCTAAGGAAAGGGGAACCTATAACTACTCAAGACTAACTTTTTGATCATTCTTTACGTCTTGTTTCTGCCTTCTTTAAACTTAAAAAAAATAGTCTATCCTTACTTTTTTTTTTTTTTAATGTACCTTGAATTACCCACCTGTTACATCCCACAATACCACTTTCAAGGATCCCTCCAAAGCTTGTGTTCAAGTGTAGAGCAGCCAGTCATTAAATTCTGATGATGCAAGTTTCTTTATGGCAAAGTTGCAGCACCTGGCACTTTCAAGTGCCACTTCACAACTAAACTACTTACATACTTCCTGTGGATCACCTACTGCCCATGAAGACTCTCACTACACACATCTGAATGTGTGACCACTTTAATCTAAAAAATGTGTTCTAGAACTTGATACAGTGCTTTGAAGATTTCTCTGAGAACTTGACAAGTAGAGAAAAAATACAGGAAAGCAACACATTTACAAAGCATTTTTGAAAAGGCTTTGTTAAGTTAAAAGGAATGTTAAGTGAATCAGCTGGATGTGTGTTTTACTACACTTCACCCAAGTGGATTTTCTGTTGTTTAATGCTTCAAAGGGAATTCTGGCATTGAGCTGAATCTCCTAATCTGGTTGAGACAACAGAATAATTTTGACCCAAAATTATTAGGTCAGGATATTGTGCCATTAGTTTAAGGACCAAACTTTTGCCCACTTTTTAGGCATTTAGTAAAGGGAGCTCTCCTAAAATAAGTCCAGTTCAAGAACTCCAACTGCCTAGTCAGGTTAAGGCAATTAATGTCTTGGTGATCCAAACAAAATGATCAGAGTATACGCACACAGAGCAACAAAACCCCCATAAATCGACAAATGCTTAGAAACAGCACTTTGATGATCCTGTGAAAAAGTTCACACAGTTCAACTTCCCATGACTGCAGTTTCTAAACTGACAGACTTTCAACAGGGTCCATCAGAAAGCAAATCTGAAGTACTGTGTAGGACTACCAAATACACATCATTGAGTAACATTAAGGACTTCTCATTGGCTACAGGTTTTGTTACAGCCTTCTGCCTTCAATCACCAAAAGCAGAGAATTACTTTAAATTTTCTTCCAAAACTGAGTTTATGCTGCAGTGAACAGCCTTCTCTTCTGTGGATGTAGCAAGCCTATCAAAAAATGTATGTGACATTTATCTCAATGCAGGTCTTAACTCCTATTCTAGCTAGCATGTAGGGCTTTGGTAACCAAGTTTCAACTTTTAAGTGCAGATATGCTTGGCTTCTTTTCAGTTTTAATTAGAAAAGGCAATGAGAGATTTCTTCCCAAAGAATAAACAGAACACTAGGTCAGGCAACAGTCATTTATTTATCGACTTAAACAAGCAAAAGGTATCCTCAGATATAATGGCTACCACTTGAGCAATACAAATCAATGCTACTGAAGAACAGGGAACATCTTTTCTTTGACCCCTCCCATCCCAGAAGTAACAATTGAATTACCAGGGCCCCTAGAGAAAAGAGAAAGAGAAAAATCGTAAAAGGCGCTTAGAATGAGCTGTGGAGTTGAAACATGGACACTAAAAATCATTAGCTAATCTACCACATCATCACAATCACCTCAAAAATAACTTTCATTGTTCCATTTCTACCAGGTACCAAATATATAGCGCTGTTTAACAGCAATTTCAACGTATTAACAACTGTCCTCAGCTGAAGCAGAACAGTAATTACTATTTATATTAAATTTGAGGCTGCAGATAGAAAGAAAGGTTTCCACAGAGTACAGTGCAAGTTAATGAAAAGAGAGTGGGGGAGAAACAAAGCTACTTTTAAATTACTGTATGTCTCTATCAAACGAGCAAATCATTCTGTATTGGTAACTCATTACAGACGCAATATCCTGACGGAGCACGGCAACTCTACTCACCCTGTGACAGTATACCTGATGAATGTATCTATGAAGAATGTATCTGTAAGTCCCTTAAGTTGTGGGCCACTGAAAATCCCAGTTTGCTACTCCTGTGTGGGTGGTTTTTAATCAGACATATGTGAAAAAAGCAAACAGACTGCATGCAAAACAACTGTTACTAAATCATTTAGTCTTCCTTATAACAGTCGAAGATATGAGTAAGGCATTCCTCAGATTTAGAGAAAACATTAGGAGGCTGTAGTTTTGCAGGCAAGGAGACCTTTTATTTTAATCCATTAAAAGAACCCAAAATAGTCAGCAGGTGGCCACATCTATCCATGTTTCATTAAAATCACATAAACCCTAAGTACAAAAGCACCACTGATTATTGCTCTAGAAAAACTGCATGAAAAATTCAAATACGCACAGTAAAAACATCACCATATGCACAAGACTTAATGTCTTAAAGCAAGTGTATGGAATGCTGATCCAATTTTACACATACCTTGCAATATTAAGTTGATATTTATATTACTTGGCAACAATGGGAATTTCTAAAAGCACTGTTATGAGAAGGGAAATGTTCATATACAGTTTAATATGTCAACTATCATAGTCCTAAAAAAATTAGCATTTACAAAATACTTGATAAAAATATCTTTTAAAAGTTGTCCAAGAGGTACATAAAATCAACCCAAAATTTTCATGATATTTCATTCGTTCTTGTCACCTACAGATTCAGTTTTCTGAGCCTGTGGAGAAGAAAGAAAGAAATTAAATTACTACAGTAAATTGCCATTATGCACCTAAATACCCAAACTATCCTTATCCCTTTGACATTTCTTACTTGCAACTGCTCAGGTTCAAACCTATGCCCACATGACATTTACGCAACTGGAACAGGTACAGTCACACACTTTTCTTAACTTATTGGTCCCAGCTTTTCAAAAGCAATACAAGCCTTACCTGTCAGCCTCCATGGTTCATACTGAAAAGCACCACACTACCACCTGTTTCTATTCACTGCATACATGCTGAATGCTCTACCGCACCCTTAACTTTCACTGTTTCAATCTGCCCTTTTACTGACAGTGTGCTGGGTGGGGCACCTCTGGATGTTGAAACACTAACAGTTGAGCGAGAGATGCGAATCTGCAATAACATTATGGGCAATAAAAAGAAACATTATGAAAATGCTAGCAATGTCTGAAAGGCTGAATAATTAAAAAACACTGATTCAATCAGCAAGAGGTATGTGTGGAAAGTACCTCTTCAGCTTTATTTTCACCATTTTCAGATGGTGTAGTACCTTCCTTTGCAGCTTCTTGCTTTTCATCCTTCTTCCCTTTAGCACCTTTGCTGGCCTTTGTTCCAGGTTCCTTCTGACAAAAGATTAAAAACACGGGTACAGACGTTGTATGAGTAGCCAGAACCCTACGCCTTTATAAAAAAAAACTTTTACATGAACTAAACAGCAAATCTTGGCAAGCTGCATGTGATGGACTAAAACAGAAAACCAGCTAAAGGCTACCTGGAAAATGTAAATCCACAGAAGTTATAGTGACTCTCAACATTTCTAGAAAACGGTGGTGTCTGCATCTTTAATTGTTTCTCCTTATTTTTACAGGGATATAAAACCATATCAGACTACTCTGGTATTGCTGAGCTGTATTATACAGAGGTATATACAAGATATCTGTGTGAACAAATCCAATTACAGTACATTGAAAGCTTATTCAGTCAAGCAAAAACACCACACTGTTTGTGTAACAGCACTACATTTTCGATTAACATGAAATATTAAATTAGATTTTAAAAATTAAGCTTTTTTGTTGGCTGTCCTTTTGTTACTTTGATAACATCTATGATGGTAATACCATGTCAATGAAAGAACCAACCAACACACTAGCGTGGCAAACACCGATAAAATTCCATCTGCAGCAACACAAAACAGAATTTATCAAAAGGATCTATTCTAACAGCTACAGTTTTATTTGGAGATTTGCTCTTAAACAATTCATATGTTGAAGTCTACTATTTTTCATAAATCCTTGCTCTACATACCTATTTATGTTTGCAATCTAAAGGTTAGTAGAGACATAAGTTAAGGATTTAAAGTGCAATGGGATAAAAATTTAAATGGTATTGCATTTAATATTTTACATTAGTATTTAAAGCAGTTCTGATAAACACTGGAGATCTTTCATAGGATCATTTGCTCTAAATTTTCCATGCAAAATAGCAATAGTAGTTGTGAACGGGGATATTAAGGTCTGTCTCCCTTCATTAACTACCTTTCCCCACTGATCCCCATAGAGGAGTGGGGCACTGGAGAGGGAATGCCAGTAATCCTAGTTCCAGGGCAGTCTGAATTACTTCTTCCACCCCTCAGCTTCAATGTTACACAGCAGCTGTGGTGTATCATTTGGAAGCTTATTGGTGCTATGAGCACAGGCCTAACTCTGATCACCTACAGAAGAGCAAACTAAGAAGTTGCCCTAGTAAATTCATAATGTGCAAGCTTTTAACACTAAAAATTATCTCAAATCTGTACCATATTTGGTTGTTTGCTAGCAGGTACAGAGTACACACTTCTGCTGATTTGTGTTTAGGACACGAAGATTAATGTGCTCCTTAAAATGTGATCCAGTTAGACTTTGGAAAAAAGAGATTATCATATTAAAGAGTTACTTAGAGTAATGTTGAGTCACCTGAAATGAATTTCAAACATCTCTCATCCAACTTAGACTGAGTCTGTAACACTGAGATCATCTCACATGTACTTGAAGCTATAGAAGCTACCACATTCCCTTCCTTATTAATTCTCTTTTTAAGAGGGGAGCAGGATAGACCTAGGAAGACTTTACTGGTAATTTAATTTGATAAATCACAAAGCAGTCAAAGTCAGAGTTTTACTTTCACATACAGACTTTGTATTCTGGTACTTGCCCAACTGAGATGCCAATAAAAGGACTTGAAAAATGTAAGAGTGAGAAGTGCTAAACTCAGTTTACAACATGTGGGGTGGGTTTTTTTCTTCAATAAAGCAGTTGCTCTTATTTAACATCCCCCTTAGGCACAAATAAATCTACAGTTTCTGAAGTACATGATTTATATGCAGAAATCCTGAAAAGGTATTTCAGACACTAACAGGATTTTAATTTGACTGTAAATGGCCCAGAAAACTCAAACCATTCAATTTAAATATATTTAATTTCACCTTTAATTATAATTGTGCATTCTCAACAACAGTCAGGCTTCAAGAACAGATAAGAGTTTCTCACTACAAGAAAACTCTTGTCTAGAGTGTCTATAGACAAGAAAACAGGATGGCACTGAGTAATCTCAAATCCTTTTGTAGAAATTACTAGGTCTCAGGTAGAGCTTACTCAACCAAACCCGTACTTTTCAGGAAGGTACAGGAAAGGTAAAAATTCTTCTTAAACTAGCCATTCACTATAAACTAACATGGTTTGCATATCAAACAGGCAAGACATTTTCTTTGGGCCAGTAATGAGGCCTGGAAGGGGTGGAACAAAAAGAAAAGAATGATCTAATCTATGGGTTTTTTCCAGCAAGGAGGGGCAGGGAGCTGCAGAGAGGGCAGGGGAGCCCATGCCTCAAAAAATGCTGTAAACTGAACTGTTTGCCATGCAAAGAAGGAGTATACTTGCTTACTATTGACTGCAATGATGGTAACTAAAGAGAAAGTTATTTACCTTTGTTGTTTTCCTTGGTTTGGGTTCAGGTTTTGGTGGAGCAGGTTTCTATAAAACATTTTTAGTTGCACAACGTGTTAGACACATTACCAAAAGTCAGTCAGCCACCTCCACACTCAGCTTGTCCCCACCCCACAGCTTCCCTTACTTCCTGCTCAGTAGTATGAATCTAGAAAAAGCTAGAAAAGCCTTTATGCACATATGCACCTCATCTCTATTCACAGCTGTTTGTATTAGCTCACTTATCTAGAAAAGAAAAGTAATTTGGGGGTCATTCTAAGAGTAAAATGTGGAGATTAGTAATAACTATTAAAAGAAACAAAACCCACAAACCATCAGCTATGTCCTAACAGAGAAGAGAAACTAAAACCAAATACTAGCAATGGCATCAAATGAAGTCCGTGAAAGACAGCTCTTTCTCCTTCCCAGAAAAGTAGCTGCATTTCCACAATTGACACCAGCCTGCAAAATGATACAAAGTCAATACTGCACCTAAAAGACAGTGTTGCATTGAGGTGGGGAAATACATCTTTTGTCAGAACAACCTGAAACCTGAAGCCAAAGAAACATAGGTAACTTCAGTGCTAGAGTTCTGAAATACCCCTCAGCAAGAATAAAAATTGAATCAAGGAAAATGTAACAAACCTGTTTGGTCTGAGAAACTGTAAGTGCCTAGAAAAGAATATACCAAGAGGTGCTCTACATACTTACAGCTGACAGTCTTGCTGATCGCCTTGTGGGCTACAAGAAAAAAAAAAAAGAAAACAGTTTTATAGGCTCACAGCAAAAAGTATCCAAAGTGATATAGTATCAGTCATTTCAGGAGGACAGCGTAAAATATGCCTCTACCAAAATAAGTGTCTATTGCCAAGCACAATTTGCATCTTCCTCACTTTGGACACTCAAAATTTTAAATGGACAAAGTGACGTGAAAATTAGAAATTAAAGTTGTTCAGGAATTATAACATCTAAATCTCCATACAGTTAAATACTTCACACACACATCCTTTTATAAGTACTTCTGAGTCCCTTTCTGCTTTATGAAAGGTTCACAAATACCTTGACTACCTGTGCACAGAACTCTCAACCTTCCTCATACGTACTCAGAATTATGTTTCTAGAATCTAGTAGATGTTACTTGTAATAGTGGGTACAAATACCATCTGATTAACAGCTGAATGAAGTTAACGTCCTTCTCTAGAGGCTATCAGAGTGCTAAAATTTCAAAATATGAAACTAAGTCCTTCCACTTCCTCAGTTCCCTACACACTCAAAGATTGAGTCCAGGTGCACAAAGACAGCTGCAGGATCAGAGGAAGAAATTATCTTTGCTATTTAAACACAATTCTGAAAAGGAAAGAATCAAGCCAGATAATCTGTTTCTCTCCAGCTTTATCACTTCAAGACACTTTTCTTACTAGATTTTATCTCACTTTGTCATAAATTTATTACTGCAGTTAGGTTTTAGAAGTAGTTGTTAGCTCTTTAGTTTGTTCACAGTATTTTTGTATTAATTAAAATAGATTAACCAAGTTACAAAGTAGGGTTATTAAACTGAGTTAAAGTTTGGTCTGTGTCATAAAACTGGAATCACACCTGTAGCCAAAATCAAGGGACAACTCAACTGCAACAAATATCTAACATAACACAACTTAAAAAATTAATCTAAAATATCAACTTAATTACATATTAAGCATTTAATTTGAGCTGAAAAAATATGGCTCCACACACCCTGCAACAGGAAAAAGCTGTTGTTAATATCTGAAGAAAGCAGTAACTTGTATTCATTGGAGGCATTTAAGTATTCTAAGTGGAAAGCAGTAGTGAATAGTTCAAATCTGCATCCAGCAAAATAGAATTCCTGTCAAGAACCACCTAAAGATATTTTCAGCTATGAAATATTTATGCATCATTAACAAAAAAAAAAGGTAAACCTCTCTTCTTGGCAATTTAGAATATCAACTGCCTGTTAGCAGCCTAGCGTATTTTACAACAGGTTAAACAAAGCATTTCAGTTGGTCAGGTAATCAAAGAACTCCTAGTGCAACGTATTGTCTTTTACAAATCTGCTTTCTTAACCAATGACTTCTATCCCTCAGCTTTTAGGAACTGAAATGCTTTGTTAGCATCTACTTTTTAAAGGATAATATGTTGGTTTATATAAATTATAATTCTCTCCCATATCTCCCAACTGTTCCTGACTGTTCCATGACTAGTTTCATAGCAGGCTTTTTTGCCATAAGAAAGTCAGCATAAACCAAAAGTTCTTAAAAAAGCCTGGCAGCTAAGTACTCTCATTTGGAGTTTGTATCTATTTTGTGTTATTTGAGTATAAGGAGGGAACTAGAGCCAAGTCAGCAACGATCACATTTTAATGTTCTTTGGGAATCTTTGTCCCCCTCCAAACAGCTGTACTAACCCAGACACTAGCAACTCACCCAGCAGTCTGTTTGACACTGGCCCACCAGCAAACATCTACAAAAGAGCCTATGAAAAGGAGCAGACAGAATAACACCCTGCACTCTCCTGCTGAACCAGCTCCTGGCTATCTAAAGTTGCCAACTTTCCAACCTGGATATCATAAACACATCATGTGTTCAAATAGTCCCTAAGAGTTATTTTCTCCACAAATCTGTCTAATAACCTAGTACTCATTTACACTTACAGTTTGCATAACATGCTGTGACACTGAGTTCCATAATGGGATTATGATTTGTGTGGAAAAGAAAAAGCAAAACCTTACCGCTCCACTGTCTTTCCTTTAAACTTCTTGCCTCTTACTTTCATTAGATTCTTCTTGTTTACAGGTTTCACGAGTAGTAATTCCCTAATTGCCTTTCTCTGTGTTACTAATGATTTTATCACAACTCCATTATACAAAAGATCAAGAATCCTAGAAAAACTGTGTTGTTTTTTTAGTTTTGGTTGTTTGCCTTTTTTTAAAAGCTGCTCTGCATCCTCTGTTTGTCCCACTGTACTGGGTATCCTTTTAATTTTATCATGGCCTCTATCAGGAGAACTCCATTTAGTAGTCCCATATCTGAGAATGCAACAAATTAATCTACACTGATGCTTATTCTGTCCTCTAGTATTTTTTCCTATTTTCTAGTTATTTTCTATTTAGAACTATTGACATTTTCTAGTAACTATTCATTATGATTTTACAATCTCTCCCCCAATTAACAGCTGATCTGGTGACCAGCACTGTCTTCCCCTCCCTCCATGTATTAATTTGCACTTCTCCACACTGAATTGCTCTTGATATTTTATCACTTATTTACCAGTGACATAAAGCCATCTCATCCTCTCTCACTTCTGACTATCCTAGTATTTTTTGCAAGCTCCAGCAAACTTTGCCATTTCTCTAGTAACTCTTCTCCTAGAAATCATTAATGAATATATTCAGCAGCACAAGCCCAAACACAAATCCTTCCAATACTTCACTGACAAATCTCCTCCATTATGAAAATTAACTACCACTTCTCCATTCTCTTCTCAAAAGTTGATCTGTTACAAATTCTTGGGAAAATCTTCCATTTAATTCATGCTACCTTAGTTTCCTTAAGAATCTCTCGGGAAGCCTTATAAAAAATTTTCTTGTCAAGCAAGTAAACTACAGAGCATGTCAATAGTTTACCTGCTATTTTCCTGTTCAAATATGCTTACACGTAGAGCAGTTAATTGTTAATTCATTTGAATATTCACCCATTCTTTTCAAGATCCTGATTTAACTTTTTCTGCCACAAAAGATGAAAACCTAAGAAAACAAATTCTCATAACTCTCTATCAGTTTTTTTACTACAGGCTGTGACAAATAAACTAGCAAACTTACTGTAGACATCAAAGTATCACCACATCTCTCCTTGCCTTCTCTGACAGAATTTACTGTGTCCTTAAACAAACTCAGTTAAAGAAACCACACAAATGCGTCAGCTGCTCCAGTTTAGAGTCTAGTACCTTAATTCAATACACCCTTCCATCAGTCACTTAAGCTAAGAATAGTTTTGAAGTAGACTGTCTGAGGTGGGTGCATTAGGCCTCTTCTGCCAATCCACTAAAGACAGAGCAACAGTTTCAGGCGGTAACACCCTACACTATTGCCACAAGATCCACCAGAGCTTGTCTATCAAAGCCCTACACGTTTCTGAAATTTATTTGGTGTACTAATAAGTTCTATAAATCCTCAGTATGCCAAAACTAAATTATGTCAGATAGGGTAAAAATGTAGTCTACTGTCATTATTCCCATTGAAAACACCTCAACAGAAGTGCCAGAGAAACACATAATCTTCTGATGTGCAAGACTGCAGGTGTCCAGTTAAATAATTCCATGCCAAAATAAATTTATATATATCTATATATATATACTTGCCTCTTGTTTAGTTACTTTTGCTGCATCCTTGCCTTCAGCACCCTCTGGAGACTGAAAGAAAATATTAAGTCAGTGTTTTCATTACAGACTTAAAAGCGTGCAGGCAATAGCAAAACAAAGATTATGGTGAAGACTGTTCTTTCAATATATTGCAACAACTTAAAGAAGCCTGACAAATTTGCATTAGTATTTACAAGCAGCATTGTACCAAAACCAGTCTTGATTTTCCAAGCAAGAACCTGAGGACAGAACACCAGGTACATACATATCGTAACACACACCTCCCTCAGTGGGCCCTCTAGCCAATTAACTAAAGCATCCGCAGCCTCCAGTGGGAGTTCCATCTTATCAGCTGTTGGAAGCACAACAGTATGAACTGGAAATCTGAGGCTCTATGAAGGCTTTTGAAATCCCCAAGAAAATGAACACATTTCTTCCCAAATACAAACTTAACCAATTATGAGATGTGATGAGATGAACTAAAAAAAGCATAGCATTACTGAAATGAATGATTTATTTACCTCATTTACTCCTTTTTCATCTCAGCCCCACTCAGCTGGAAGTTTTAAAAGTATCTGTCCCTCATATCTCACCTCCTCCATCAGAAGAGCAAAAATTAGTAAAACACTGATACATTGACAGGAAAACTAGGGACAACATGTTTCTTCTCAAGAACAAAGTATCAACCTGAGCATTTTAACACTAGTCTTCCAGAGGTAGTAGAGAAAGGTTAATTAAATTACAGTAGGTGAGGAGCCTACTGTGACATCAAGCTTCTGTCTTTTGTTTACCACTCAAGATGTATTACTTCACATTTTGCAAATACCTGGGTTTCCACCTAGGAGCAAGCGATTCATGGATAAATAGCAAGCAGCAGCAGTTAGAGGAGAACTACAAGAACAGTACATGTTTCAAAAAGGCATTTAACAGGCAGCAGAGAAGGCAATTTGGTTGCTGTTTTGTTTTTCAATCACTAAGGAAGCTGGCTAGTTATCTTTTCTTGTGTCTCTCCATTTCAGTCTTAACCTAAACTTCCTCTCAGATTTTGACACGGAATTTCTTTGAGTTATACAGTTATGGTTTAGAGCAGAGAAAAAGACCGGCTACTTTGCAGCAGTTGACCACTGCCTTCTCCTGGCATTGGGCTCTTATCATACTTACAGATAGACATCCCCCCACCAGGGAATAAAATGTGCCTTTGTTACTATGTGCTCTCCCGACTGAAAGGAATCTTGCCACAAGAGCAGCTGCTTTAAAAAAAGCAGGGAACTGATCATCTAAGTAGCTTGAAAACAGCAGGAAGTTAAGCAGCACAGCACAGCGCAGAGCAACTCAGAATAGCAACAGTGTCAGGCATCCAAAATGGAGACTGACTGCTCCCGGTGCTACTACAGCCTCACCAGTCACCTGCAGGATTCTTTCAGGCTTGCATTTCTAAGAGCCTTTCAATTTGGTTACTAAAGAGTTGCTACAGCTTGATGGTCTGATGCTGGGAGCCTCAAAAGTCATAAAGAAAACAAAAACAAGTAGTTCCATGTTCACTGTCAGTAGAGTCTTGTTTCCTAGAACTTCAGCTCGCGATACAAGACATGCTCTGGGTACAACTTTTCTGTAGTCCATAGTATCTGTAGTTCATAGTATCTGTTTCTCCCATATGAATATTCTTGAGTCTAACGAACTTGTGCTGCACCCCTTCCCTGAGAGGGAACTTAAATAGCATCCTTCATGTCCTGGGCACCTAGTTATATAGAAGTTCTCTGAGATTTTATAACCTTTTCCTCACAGTAATCAAGAGACTTAAGATCTACAGCGGTAGGGACAGAAGGACAGCATGACTCATTTTCTTCAGAAACCAAGCTAAAAAACTCATCATAAACTAAATTAAACTGACTGACACTCCACAATCAGGTTGTTTTACCCTGCTTCATTTTTAGGAATCACAGAGCTTTGAGACAGGGCTAAACTATCCCAGGATGGCACTGTCACACAGCAATAGCCTTGCAGTAATTGCCCAGGAGCAAACCCTCAGTCTGCAATACTGCGTAGTTAACGCACAGTAATTTACCCCATTCTATTTAGCACTAATGAAGGAGAAGTCTCCTACATTTCTGATAGACATGGCAGTCTGATTTTAGATGCCAATACGATTGCTTGACAACATACTAAAAAAAGCTGCTCATGAGGCTAACTGTAGGGGAAAAAAATTGTATTAAAAATACTCTGTGCAACCACAATATCTGTGTACTAACTAATATGGATATATTACACAACATACTTAAGTTAACTAATTAATTACCTCAGCATTCCCTCTCAAGTTAGAAAATCCAACAGCAATTCTGAAGGGCACTACTTTCTCCATGGAGGGATATGCACAGTAATAATTTCAGCAGTGCGAATAAGCAGCAAGGGGTCCTGACATGCTCTAATTTCCATTTCAGACCTGCTCCTCCTCTCTGCAATCACTACGAGTCCAGGCATTTGAAGGCTGCACTCATCCTCCAGGGCCTTGGCTCCCCAGTATGCTGGCAGAGATGCACGGGAGGCCTTGTCACAAGTAAGGTAATTGATCCAGCTGAAAAATAGCCTGCTGCTTAAACAAATGTATAAATATTATAATATATATACAAATTATAAATATATAGTCTTCCCTGCTCCGGCAGAATCATTTTACTGCACAGCTGCACAAACAATTGAGCCAGTACAACAGACAAGAATGAAGTGGCATGGGGCAGCTGCAGGCAGCCTGGGATTCCATCTATTCTATCTATTTCAGCTAATAGACACACACAAAAAAAATATGTATGTCAGATATGGCTACAGTATACTCGTTAAAAGACGAATAGAAACTTATTTTCCCTTCTATGAGTTCTGCTTAGACATTCCAATGAGTCCCAGCTGATGTGGTTCTTCATACTAATTTTTGCAGTACTTTTTCCTTTCCCTAGGGAAAAGAAAGATTTATACATGAATGGATTTGCACCAAGCATAGTTCTCAAAGAACTTGGCATGCCAAAAACTCAGATTGTCTGCACTACTACCTGAAGTCACAGTACTTTTATGTAGATACCACTAAAACCTTAAAAGTCCTTGCTCCTAATGCTTCCACAGGAACCCTTTCCCCTGTCTTATGTCCAAGTGACAAAGTACTGAAGGACATCTGGTTTCAAAGCAACCAAACGTACTGAGTAACCCATCCCCTTGGCACATTTTCCCACATGACATAATTCCAGGGCTCACCATGTTTCACAAGACACCCCAGTCGCATTAAAATGCACCCTGCATACTGTGCCTTACATCATAAACTAGTCAGGAGCAGGAGTGTCCACACTGCAAGTTTTGTGGAGCAAAATCAAAGACCAATACAAGCACTGAATCATTTGACAAGGGCAGGACTCCAGCCTCAGTAATTCTTCAGCTGTACTCCATCACATGCTTGTATTACTCTCATAAAGAAGTCCCTATAGGCCTGCTGCGCCTGCTACTGTATGGATGCCTACAAGAGATAAGACATAAAATAAAAAAGCAAATAAGGACACAGATAAGAGTGATATTTTTTTTCCACAGAGGAACACACAGGAAAGGAGATGACTGGCTACCTCTAAATATGCTTTTGACATTTAAACCACTAACAAGTTTTTGGCTGAGGTGACCACACAGTGTGTCATATCTCAATTAGCACTACATATTGGCAAAAAGATTGTAAATTAAGCTGAAACTAAGCTTTGTAAGATCTGTAGAGCTGCATAACTTTCAAACCACAAGACTAATCTGGAAAGTTGTCTACCAGTGTTCAGCTTTTTTTAATTATTAATTGATTTTCCACCATCTCTTTTTAAGAATAACCTAGAAAATTATTTTGAGTGGATTGGAAAAAAAAAAGATTAACAGATTATAGAGAACTTTAAAAAACACCCAAAGGAATATTAACATTGAGCTTATTTGTATATACAGCTCTTGCATTTCACCAGCTGAGAAGTATACATAAGAAACAGTGTTTCCACACACCAAGGCAATACTGCAGTATCTGCAATGCCAACATCATTACAGAACTGTTAAGTTGAAAACAGATAACTGTTTTAAGGAAACATTTAACAGAACATACAGGTAAATTTCCTTTTTTTTATTGTTCTTAAGGCTGGGTTACCTCGTAGAGATGCACCACAAAAAACCCACAAAGCTTCAATTTTTTCTAATCAAAACCCTGAAATATAACCACGATGTAATGAGAGTACAGTAACCCAAAGAAGTGAAGTCCTTCATGTTTGTTTGAGAGATCCAAAGAAACATATTTGAACTTGCAATGTCCAGCTCCTGGATAAATATTTTGTTTGTACTATAATGAATGGACTGTACTATTATAAAGGAGCACATTAAAAAGCATGAAGAATGAGAATACAAGCACATGAGAAGTAACGGTCAGCAGAAGGTCGGTATAAAATTAAATAGATCGTTTATTCTCTGAAGGATCTTATTACTTACCGAAACTCAACACCTTGGCTCTGATGGGACAGAAATTAGTCCTTTTATACCCACAAGAAAAAAAAAAAAAAACAAACTAGATGCAAATTTTATTCTAACTACCACGTTAAGAAGTCAGAAAGGCAAAAAGCCCTGACTGTCCTAGCACATGAGCATTGTGAACAGCATTTCCTCCCTTTACAAGCTGGTTCAGCCACATCTTAATACACTGCCTGCAAGGGGATTTGCCTGTAGATTTCCTGGTGCACTGTTGCAGCTGCAATTTCCATGATGTAATGCTTTGGTCATTCCTCCAACTATTTATTTCACCGACCAAAATAAGGTAAAAGCTTGCAAGAAAAACCACATTGCAAGAAAAGACGTATCAAGTCCCAAGTCTTTTTCAGAGTTTACTGCACTATTTTCCAAAAATTTTTCCACTCCTCATTTCCCTTTGAGTAGAACTCTGCATTAGAGCAAATTTAAATCAATAAAAGGTGTCCCCATACATGCTACATCTAATTATTTGTCTTCAGAGCAGCTCTGAATTTTGTGCTATTTCATAAATGTAATTAAAATGCTATTTACTTCTT